ATATTTCAATTTTTATTAGTTAAGTAGATTAAATCACTGGTTTTGGATTCGATATCCACCTTGAACGGCTTGATATCAAGCAATATATATATATATATACTATATATATACGTATATATATATATATATATATATATATATATATATGAATGGTAGAATCTTGGATTTGTGTATATTTTGTAGAGTTTCGAACAAGAATCCAAAAATAATACAAAATAAAAAAAACAAGAAAAGTTTTTAATAAACAATTTCTTTATTTAATTATTTGTTTACTGTCAACGTTTCGAACTAGGTACGTTCCATCTTCAGGACATCTGTCAATGATCATGTTCTTGACAGATGTCCTGAAGATGGAACGTACCTAGTTCCGAAACGTTGACAGAAACAAATAATTAAATAAAGAAATTGTATTAAAAAATTTCTTGTTTTTTTATTTGTGTATTTTTGGATTCTTGTTCGAAACTCTACAATATATATATATAATATATATATATATATATATATATATATTGATTGTTTCTTATATGTGCTTATATGTATGTTTTTGTATATACATTATATACATGTACTTGCGTATATGTTCGTGTATATAATTGTATGTACATAAATATATGGATATATGCATATGTATGTATGTGTATGTATGTAGGTATGCGTATGTATGTGCATATATACATACATAATAATATTTCTCAACATTTGCTGAAGCAATACATTCCCATTTTTCGTAAATTACCAATACAAGAGCCATAAAAAATAATTTTTGCCTAAATTCCGTACATATCCCTTACATCTGGCCGACAGAACTCCATATCAGTGTGTTAAAGTCTTGTGAAGTCTAAACATTTACAAATATCCTCGGAAAAAATCGAGTGTTTTTAACAAAAAATATTAGTGATATGGATATATAAATTATTACAGGTAAATAATTTTTGCTTCTCATTTTTATATGAAACCTTTTTTAGTTAATTTTTATTACTCTTTACACTGGTACATAATCCATTCCTTTATAATTTTTCTAAATAATCTGTAATAACCATCATTAATTAATGTTAATCAATAGTTTTAAAAATCATTGTCTTTGACAGAATAAACCTGATGATGGAACGTATCTAGTTCCGAAACGTCGTTATTAAACATCTTCAAAAAACAAATTGTTTTTTATTATTGGATTTACTGTTCGGAAAAGAAACAATCAATATATTGAAAAAATCCAGGACTTATCTATTGAATATATATATATATATGTATATATATATATATATATATATATATATATATATATATATATTGTTAACGCTTCATTCCCAACGCTGGTATAATTATTATATTTTATTATCTCCATGTAGGATAGCGACAATAAACCCTCATCCCTTATTATATAATTTAAAACGATAAAATAATCCCTTTCATTGTTACGCATCCTGTCCCAAAATCGGTCATCATATCAGTAATCCATTTTTCCTAGAATTTTTATCACCTGTCCCTAACTATATCATCCTATCATCCTTATATTTCCAAGAAATTCGCACTACCTGTACCGAGTTTAAATTCTCCGTATCATGCAATCACCAACCAATACCTGATCGGTTGATAAATGTAATAACCACTGATTGGTTCCAAAATTGTAATGGGGTGTCCTTAATTCCACCAAATGGGCCAATCAGAAAAATTTAAAAAATTATAAAATCTATATAATTTAGTATCAACTAAAATTTCACATAGCTAAGATCAGTCGTAAATTAACACTCAAAGCTATAACATCTAATTAAAACTTCAACCATCTAACATCTATAAATCTTAATATTTCAAATATACAATAATTAAACAGTTATTCATCATCTTTTATTTTTATTATTCAATCGGTCTGATATAGCCAATAACTAAATATATCTGGTCCTTCGAAAAAGTGCAAGTGTTCAATAGAGTTCGGCAGCATCCAGATAGATCACGAACTTCTTAAACACTTTGAACCTATCTCAACAAATACTTCTTTGGCCATTCAAACCGAATGGTCAAATTACTAACCATATATATATATATATATATATATATATATATATATATATGATTTGGTAATTTTTGATGTTGAGATATATGAGTAAATTCTTGTAGGGCAATACATCAAAGAAACTAACTGCAAGTGGAATTCTGTCAATGGCAATTAAAGCATCGTGCCTTAAGGCAAATTGCTAGAACGTCCCGTACCAAAAATTATTATCTTTTAAAAACGATACATTTTTGAAAAAATTTTACTTCGAAAAAATACGATTTTTGAGAAACTATAAATTTGACAAAAAATTACTTTTTTTTGAAAAAAAAAATTAAAAAAAAAAATTCAAAAAAAAATTATTTTTTAAAATTTATATTTAAAAAAAAATGTTTTCTATATTTTGACATATTTTGGAAGATCTGAACTTTTTTTCAAAGCAATCGTACTGCTTTAAATGCATAGAGACAAAATATAAAGCGCGTAAGCGCCGCGCCGCTGTCTAACGGGTGAACATTAGTACGGAACCCATAGGAATGTAAACAAAATTTTTATTTATTGTTAAAATCTCTATAAAATATCTAATAATTTGATGTGCATACGTCTAATGATCATTTTTGACATCCAGATGTCATTTTTTTAACTTTTTTCATTAAATCTCCGAAACCGCTAGACCTGCCATTATAAAAATTTGATCAAATCTTCATCTTGTTTATACAAGTAAAATATTTTTTGAATTATTAAAATCGGACGCTCCGTTCTATTAAAAACTGAGGTACCGTTTTTGCCCCATATCTTCGGAACGGCTAGACCTACCTCCGCCAAAAACTATTCAGCACGTCTACTTATCAATACGGATCGAATGTTTTTTAAATTATTCAAATTGCTTCATTCGTGTTCCCGAAATCGTCGACGAAAATTTGTATCCGCACACACATACATACTACGCACACACACACACACACACACACACACACACACATACATCCATTTTTTCTAAGGTATGCCAAAATATTTAGAAACCTCTGAAACGTAAAGATATATAAAAATTTTCATTTTCGATTTTTTTGTTAAAAAAAAAGATTTATAAATAAGATTTTTTCTTTGATGTATCGCCCTACAAGAATTTACTCATATACATTATCAAAATCAAAATGTCAAATGTTTATTTACGACCAAAATAAACAAAATGTTAATTTCAAAATTTTGATTCAACTTGTCGCTAAGTTATAAAATTCTAAAAAACAAATAGAAACAAAAATAAATGCTGAAGGTTATTTATGTGTTCTGTGAGCATTGTTTTATACTGATTCTTATTTTTTGAATTATTTCTATGTTGAGAGATTCTTTTGTGTAGATTTTGGATAGTTTCGCCAATGTAAAACCCTTGGCAATTTAGACAAGATTTTCGCATCGAATTTAGATTTTAATGTAGAAAGAGTAGTATCTGAAGTCCTCTAATATCATGTTTAATGAAAAGTTTTTTCCGTAACTAGTAAAGATCGTTTATAAAGAGAAAGGTAATATTTCTTACTTTGGATTTTCAGTTGAAATGTTATAGCGGTTTTGGGTTTATAAAATACTGTTTCTGGTTATAGATTGGATCCAATGTTGAGTATAAGAATTTTTACTTGAGATTTGTGATACTAATGAGAGGTTGTTCTTCAAAAATTTGCTATGAGACAATAGTATAGCACGATTTATTAAGTTGATAATGGTGCCTATTTTAGTAGAGAGAGGATGGTAGGAAAGATAGTTTAGGTAACGACCTGAGTAAGTTGTGGTTTATGATACCAATTATTATATTATTGTTTTTGCGGTGAAGGTGTATATATATATATATATATATATATATATATATATACAGGGCCGGTCCTGGGGTCCTCAGCGCCCGCATGCAAGTTTTGTTCTAGCGCTCCCCCTCCAATAATTTTAACTGTTTTAACAGTTTTTCATTAAAATTATATAAATATTCATGATAAGTTTTTTAATTAATTTTTAATCATTCTGGATTTAGTACACAAAAAATTAGATATAACCTAAAAGCGCATAAAATACATTGATTTTAAATTTATTTAGACGATTGAGACGATTCGCGGGTTGATCATAATCAAATATTTTTAAATTATCAATTATTTCTAACGTATGTGTAATATTAATATTTAGGCTTTGAAACATTTAACTTATTTATTACGCGATTTATTCTATAGAGCAAATCACGCCAAAAGAGCAAAAAAACTAGTCTTTGATTTTTAAACATAACACTCGTATTTCAAGTTTAAAATTAAATTTTATTTTAATTTATCTTTTCACTATTTACAATTATATACAAAATTGCATCGTAAACTTCTCTTATTGGTATCGTAAGGGCCAAATTCTATCCAGCTTTACTTTCCCATCAGATTGAGAGTATCAGATTATTGTTTTAAAGTTAAACTTTTAACTTATTTTTAAAGTATTATTCAAAGATTAGTAAAAGATGCAAAGAAATTATATTTGTATCCGTATTATTGCTGCATAGTTTATAATTGAATTATGTATAAAAAAAGCTTAAAGATTTTTGTTCCTAAGTACATTTTGCTTCCATTTTTCATATTTGCTTCATAAACCTAACCACGCATGTCTTCAACGTTCAAAGTTCATCAGATTTGAAACATTTGCAACAAAAACAGAAGTTACAATTCAATTCTAATAATGAATAAAAAAGCCATTTTCTAAACACTGACTTCCCATTTTCCATTTTTTTTATTATAATTAGTATATATTTCTTTAACAAGTTCCATTTCAACTAAATCAGCTCGCCATTTTTCACCAATAGCGCCCAATAATTAATTTAAACTTTCGTAGGTTTGCTCTTACGGGATTGAACACTAAATAATTTCTTTTTCGATTCCTCGTTAACTTCAAACGAAGAACAAAAAAAAGTACATTAAACAATAAGCAGAACAATAATTCACAAATTCGCAGAGTTATTTTGGCTAATTGTTTCTGTTGAAATCACATTGCAAATTGAATATGCATTTTGTGTCTCATAGTTAAGTTGGATTGTTTATTATAATCTATTAAGTATTCTAGATTTTATATTTAAAAAAATATATAAATAATATATTATAAATTTCATTTCCGAACCTCGTTTTGGCGCCCCCTAAGGCGTGCGCCCGCATTTTTTGCATGCATTGCATTCAAGGTAGGACCGGCCCTGTAATATATATATATATATATATATATATATATATATATATGTATATATATATATAGTATTTTTATTTATTTTTTTAGGGTGCAGGCGATGCCTTTATTGGAACTCTGGCTTATTTATTGGCTTACAAAGAGGACATGTCGATGAAGGATAAAATAAGGGTAGCATGTGCTGCAGCTTCGGAATCAGTTAAATATATTGGAACACAGTCGAGTTATATTACTGACTTATCCCTTATAGAATTATAATGTTTATTTGGAAATACGTTTTAATATGCGTGCCTTGAAGATGAAAAGGAATTATATATATATATATATATATATATATATATATATATATATGATATATTAGTTTTGATGTTCTTGTAGGGGGATACATCAAAGAATAAAAAGCAAAGATTTATAAATTAATTTTTAATTCCAAACGTTTCGACATTCAATTTAATGTCATCATCAGTAGATCTAAAAACAGTGTAAAAATTAATATAACTGGGCAATTATAAGATTTGTGGATTGGTATAGGAACTATAAATATAAGAGAAAAATTAACAGAACAGCCACACTTAATAACCAAATGATAACAAAAGATAGTAAAGGTAATAAAGATAGAAACTAGATATTAGATAAAAAAATATATATATATATATATATATATATATATATACATAAATGCATATATATGCCTACACGTTCATATGAATACATATATACATATGTACATATATGCATACTTAAAAGAATGTATATGTACATGTATAAATATACATATACCCATACATATATAAGCAAACACACATACATGTACACATATATATACACACACATTTCATATATAAAAATGATAAAAATTCATAGTGTTGACGAGTTAGTTGTATAAATGTTATAGCTACTCTCTAGTGTTGTGTACACATCTTTAGATGTAAACTACAATTTTTTGTGTGAACGAAGTGGAAGCATCTATTATATCAGGAATTGATGTTAGCAATGTAGAGTAAGTTTAACAATGGTTAAATTAATAACTATATTTTTACTGTAATTATTTTGTTGCAGAGAAGCAAAAACACAGCTATTTCTATATTTTTGCAAAGAGGTTGCGGGACAATTATCATAACTCTGGGTGCAGAAGGGGCAGTTTTTGCCAGTCAAGAAGATCCAGTTCCAATTTATGTTCCTGCAAAGAAAGTTGCTCCTACTGATACAACGGTTTGTTTTGATGTTTTTTTTTTTATTTAAAAATTCAATGTAAGAATATTTTATAACATGTTTCCAAATATTTACTAAAGTTCAATTTTTAAGTTCAATTTAACAGATTTGTTTAGATTCATTGATTTTCATTACTCTTCCGACTGTGAAGTGCCATGTGTTTCTTCAAATTGCCTGGTTGATTAAATCCCTGATTGCATATTTCACATTTATAAGGAGTCTCTCCATTATGAATCCGCAAGTGTTGTTTCAGAGATCTTAATTGCTTGAATTTCTTACTACAAGTATTGCATTCATGAGGAAATACTTCATTGTGTATTAGCATGTGATCTTTCAGATGATTCATTTGTATGAATGTCTTCTTGCATGTGCTGCACTCATGGGGGCGCTCACCACTGTGAATGCGCATGTGAGATTTCAGAGTACTTGAATGTTTGAATGTCTTCTTGCATATACTGCATTCATAGGGACGCTCACCACTGTGAGTGAGCATGTGATCTTTCAGATGATGTATTTGTATGAATGTCTTCTTGCATGTGCTGCACTCATAGGGACGCTCACCACTGTGAATGCGCATGTGAGTTTTCAGAGCACCTAAATGCGTGAATGTCTTCTTGCATACATTGCACTCATGGGGACGCTGACCACTGTGAATGAGCATGTGAGCTTTTAGATGACTTTTTTGTGTGTATGTCTTATTGCATTCATTGCATTCATGGGGATGCTCACCACTGTGAATGAGCATGTGATTTTTCAAAATAAATAATTCTGTGAATGTCTTCTTGCATATACTGCATTCATGGGGGCGCTTACCACTATGAGTGAACATGTGACTTTTCAGATGGCTTAATCGTATGAATGTCTTATTGCATTCATTGCATTCATGTGGACGTTCATCCCTATGAGTAAGCATGTGACTTCTCATACTACCTAATTGCGTGAAGGTCTTCTTGCATATACTGCACTCATGGGGACGCTCACCACTGTGAATGACCATGTGATCTTTCAGATGACTTAATCGTTTGAATGTCTTATTGCATTCTTTGCATTTATGGGGACGTTCATCACTATGAATAAGCATGTGACTTTTCAAAACACTTGATTGTTTGAAAGTCTTTTGACAGATTTTACATTTAAACGGACATTCATCGCTATAGTTAGGCATGTGATCGACCATATGCTTTGTCAGATGATGTGATTCTGCAAATGATTGATTACAAATATTACAATCAAAAGACTCCTGCTTGACTTCATCTTCAATTGTCACCTCGGAATTCATGAATCTTTCTAAACACGTGTCATTATCCTCAGAACATGATTCAGATTTAACAATTGCATTAGGGACATCAAATTCATCCTCAATTTCACGTTTAATATCTTCCAGTGAATATTGTAGCGGTTCAGTTTTAATAAGTGCCTGATCATTCACTGACATAATTGTTTCTTCTGACATATTTAAATTTTTTCACTGCTTATATTCACTAAATATTTACTAAAATACTTGTGGGCTGAATAATGATCTGCTTTAATCAACAATCTTTTAAGATATAATAAATGATTTCAACTAAAATTTAATTCATTAATTGACATTTGAAGCATAGAGACATAGATAAACAAAATAACGAATAAACGAAATAACGCGCCACTTGTTAAATGTCAAACCAAGATAGATGTCTCATCTCTCTAAAAGCGTACTCTCTATGCTTTAAATGTCAAATAATGAATTAAATTTTATTTATAATCATTTATCTTAATGAAAATGATTATATTAAACTAGATCAACTACTATTTTTCGTAAATATTTATTGAGTTAAGTATAAGCAGTGAAAATATTTAAAAATGTCAGACGAAACATTTATGTCAGTGAATAATCAGGCAAATATTAAAATTGAATCACCAGAATATTCACCGGAAGATATTAAATGCGAAAATGAAGATGAATTTGATGCTCTTGATGCTATTGTTAAATCTGAATCGTGTTCTGAGGATAATGATACATGTTTAGAAAGATTCAATAACTCCGAGGTGACAATTGAAGATGAAGTCAAACAGGAGTCTTTCGATTGTGACATTTGTAATCAATCATTCGCAGAATCACATCATCTATCAAAGCATATGGTCGAGCACATGCCTAACCATAGCGAAGAACGTCCTTTTAAATGTGACGCCTGTCAAAAGACTTTCAAAGAATCTAAAGGGTTGAAAGCACACATGGTCATTCACAGTGGTGAGCGCCCCCATGAGTGCAGTATATGCAAGAAGACATTCATACAATTGAGGACTTTGAAAAGACACATGCTCATTCACAATGATGAGTCTCCCAATAAGTGCATTATATGCAAAAAGACATTCACACAATCATTTAATCTAAAAACTCACATGCTCATTCACAGTGGTGAGCGTCCTTATGAATGCAGTATATGCAAGAAGACTTTCATACAATTGGGGACTCTAAAATCTCACATGCTCATTCACAGCGGTGGGCGTCCCTATGAATGCAGTATATGCAAGAAGGCTTTCGCAAATTCGGGGACTCTGAAATCTCACATGCTCATTCACAGCGGTGAGCGTCCCCATGAGTGCAATGAATGCAAGAAGACTTTCTCACATTCAAGTACTCTGAAATCTCACATGCTCATTCATAGTGGTGAGCGTCCCTATAAATGCAGTATATGCAAGAAGTCGTTTACACAAGCATCTCATCTAAAAACTCACATGCTCATTCATAGTGGTAAGCGCTCTCATGAATGCAGTTTATGCAAGAAGTCGTTTACACAAGCATCTCATCTGAAAAGTCACATGCTCATTCACAGCCGTGAGCGTCCCCATGAGTGCAATGAATGCAATAAGTCTTTCATACGATTAAGCAATCTGAAAAAACACATGTTGATTCACAAAAGAGAGCATCCATATAAGTGAGAAATATGCTATAAAAGATTTAATCAATCAAATAATTTGAAGAGACACATGGCACTTCACAGTCGGAAGAGTGATGAAAATCAATGAAATCTAAACATATCTGTTGAATTTAAATATTTGTAAACATGTTATAAAATATTCTTGAATGTAATGGAATGTATAAATAGTAAACTTCACATAAAAAGTATTTATTTAATCAAAGAAATTATTACTCATAAGTTTATAATTTTTAATTTTTATTTGTTAAGTAGATTAAATCACTGGTTTCAGATTCGATATCCACCTGGAACAGCTTGATATCAAGCAATATTGATATTAGATTTTTATTCAAGATTACAGGTCTTAAATACAATAATATATACTCAATTTTGGCACTCAGATGTTTCATTTGACTTCATATATTTTTACAACTTTTGTTAATAAATTTCTGGCATGGTAAATAAATGAATATGTATATATATATATATATATATATATATATATATAATTTGAGTTTAATATTCGGGCGTAACATCAATAAAAATAGTATGAGAGTTTTTTTTAAGTTTATTTATTTAAAATCCATACGTTTTGGCTAGCATCTTAGCCATCATTCAGTGGTAACCAAATTAAAATTTTGTATCCTAATATAGCATATGAAACCATTATTAATCCATGGTATGAGTATGAGTGCACATTGATAAGATATATATTTTTTAACACAAACATCACAAATGGTAAAACACACTAATAACCATGATAACTTGTCGATAAATTGTCGAAATTTGATTTTCTATCCTAAACTCCGAAGAATAAATACATAGTTTCGACAACTTGTTAAGTATATTATATTATATATATATATATATATATATATATATATATATATTACTGATCTATCCCTTATAGAATTATAATGTCTATTTGGAAAATTTCTCAAAACTCTAATTTTATTTCGTTATTAACATTTTGCTTGAAAACTTTTATTCTAAGCAACGAATCGCTTCTTCGGCGACTCGTATCTCGAAACACTCGTAAGTCGGGGTACTTCTGTAGATTGAAGGATAAGTTTGTCTATTATCCCGCGTAAGTCTGTAAATACTTGTATATTGACACCTAAACGTTGTCTCAAAACCTACATATGTTTCGTACACGCTACCATATGCAGGTTTTGGGACAGTTTTATGGTGTCAATATACAAGTATTTACAGACTTTCAGCTGGGTATCTCGAATTCCGAGATTCTTACCTAATTCAAGCTTAAATGACTGGACCATATATGAACAGTGATCGACTCCTTTATTTATTGCAACATTTATCCTTTATTAACTTCCCGAAGGAGAAGTTTATGTTTTCATCAAAAAATCCGACTCGTTAATTTTATATTTTCTCGACGTTTCAAGCCATTCTGAATCGAATGAGACCAAATTTGAAAAAAGTATGTGTGCGTGTGTGTGAACAGATATTTTGCCGGAAATCGACGTTTTCTCAAAAACGGATGGACCGATTACAAAAATTTAAAAACAATTCGATGCATCGAGTTGTGGACTATTGTTTATCTAATTTGCGCGACGATCACCCAAGCCGTTTCTTTATAAATCGCAGAAAAGTGAAAAAAAATTTGTCTACGTTTTAGCCCGCAATTCTGGATCGATTTTGAAAATTCAAAAACCGTTCGAAAGATATTGGTTGGGAATCGTGCTGATTAGTTTTTGGTAGAGATCGGCTGGGCCGTTGCCTTGTAATAAAGTTTTAAATAAAAATTTCGACGATTTTTATGATTATTTTTTTGACGGTAGATACCATAGTCTTCTAGATCATACTAAAATATTACGGCCCTACGACAACTCGTTTAGCTTTAAAAATTCGTCAAAGTTTGCAAAAATTGGTATCGTTCTTTTGGCATTTGTCAAAATTAGAACTTTGATCGACGTTTTCTTAAAAACGCCTGAACCGATTTCAAAAATTTAAAAGTCATTTGATGTATCTCAATGAGCACTGTAGTTTGTCAGTTTCGTGAGACGATCTGCCGAGCCGTTCCTTCGTAATTTGAAAAAGAGTGTTAAACTTTTCACCCACGTTTAAGCTTATTCTACCGAATCGATTTTAAAAAACCAAAAACTGTTCGAAAGATATTATTTGGGAATGATACTGATTAGTTTTAGGTGAAAATCTACCGAGCCGTTTTCTTGTAATTAACTTGTAATTTGGCGATGTATATCATGGTCTTACTGAAATATTACGGCCTTACGACAAGAGGTTTAATTTTAAAAATTCATCAAAGTTTGAGAAAATAAGTAGTTCTGTTGGCGTTTGCTAAAATTAAAATTAGATGATTTACTTGGTATATAACGATAGATTACTTGGTCTTAATGAACATACTAAACGATTAACGTCCTACGAAAATTGGTTCAATTATAAAAATTATTGATTTGTGAAAATTTGCTTTTAGAAAATACTCCGATTAACGTGTTCTTTCGTTTTCAATTATGTATAATAAATCCACACGGAATACTTCTAATCACTCATAAATTAATTTGTTTATTATTCATTAAGTCGATTATTTACACATATCGATATGTTCATGTAACTTGCCTCAAGGCTAAATACCAATACCAACTATTGAAAATAAAAATCTGAAATAAAATCTTCATAAAACAATAATCAATATATTTTGTAAAACCGATACAAACAAATTGTGTAAAATACAATTCTATGTCTATTAATATAACTATGCTATGATTAAATCATGTTTCAAATTAATATGATCAATAATATCTAAAAGAATTTCGATATCTTTCACATCCCTCACTTTCAAAGGCGCTGCACAGAGTCTTATCGAAATGCCATCCATACTAATTGTATAATCACCATTTTTAAAAATTGTAACTTTTCTATCTACTTCTGATGAGACACTTTCATTTGCGTATACCAGTTTGTAACGTTTGAAACTGAAGCTGGACATTTTAATTATTTCAGAAAATGTACTGACGTATTTAATGATGTCGCTCTCGTCGTAGTACATGATGGTTTCTCTGCCTCCTAATTGGAAGCTACCAATGGCTCTATTTGTGCTGGGCTTTGCTGTGACTATGTTGTGGCGTAGGGAGCAACACCACTGGTGCGAAGGCATTTTAATTCCATTCTTCATTTTGCTTATTCGATAAGCAACACTCTCAAACGGAAAGTTCTTGCGTGGGGCCTCAAAGGGATCTGTGAAGTCATTGTTTTGTTGCTTCTCTAGAATCAACCCGTAGAGTTTGGAAGTCGAATCAGGGATAAGAGGATTTGTTACTGGTTCTATAACATGCGCTTCTGGTTCTATAACATCCTCTAATTGTGGCGGATCTTGTTTTCTTCTTTTTGGTGACACCGTTTCGTCAACATCAAGCTTCCTTTTTGGGGTCCTTGGAACAACCAAAGTATCACTAGCAAAATTCACTCTTTTCTCCCTCTTCAACTTGTACGTTTGGTCACTAATTTTGTCATACTGATTAAAATTTATCATCTTCAAGTTCACATAAGACGAGAAGAATCTTTTGTCATATTTTGCACTCAGATCTGTTACAACCGGTTGGACTTCCGGTTCTTTTTGCAACACAGGTTTAATTTTTGCAATCATTCTGTTCACCAGTCCACCTTTATCTAATTTTATCGGCTCTCTTCTACCGGTGATGATGAATCTTCTGTTACCTATAACGATTTCACCGTTTTTATCAGCTTGCATGAACTTATTTTTATTTAACACTATTCTACCTTTTTTTATCACACCCTTGATCCGTTTCACAGGTGAGATAATGGACTCTGATGTCGGTTTATCTTTATTTGCATCTTTATTTTGTATTATTGGCTCATCGTCTTCATCATCTATAACAATAGACTCATTTTCATCAAGCTTTTTGCTAACTTTGTCTGAACTGCTGTCATTAGTTACTTTTGAACTGCTGTCATTAGTTACTTTTGAACTGCTCTCATTAGTTACTTTTGAAATGCTGTCATTAGTTACTTTTGAACTGCTGTCATTGGTTACTTTTGAACTATTATTTACTGTAGCACCAGGTTTATCATTTTGCACATTGGTTTCTGATATTTCAACACGCACAGACCCATTTTCGTCAATTGTTATAACCGACTGCCCTAAATGAATTGATTGTGGTTGTTTATTGCTTTCCTTGTTCTCTGTTCCATTTTTATCACTCACCGGCTTGTCTTTACTCACAATTTCATCATCGTCTATTACTATTGGTTCAGTTATGTTCAACGGTTTTAAACCTAGCTTTTCACTACACACCGGACGAATTATGGGTTTTGTTTTTAGTACAATAGCAGTCACCGGGCTGTCTTTTGTAGTTAATAACTTTCTATTTGGAGTGGTAATGGAACTAGTTTTATTGGTGTTTTGTGTACTGGATACTACTGGAGTAATTGTTACCGATTTTGTTATGTCACTACCTTTTTTATACATGGATTGGATATCATCTGTTGTTATGGTCCGCACGTTAGCTATTTTTATAGGTCCAGTGTTTTGTGTTATTGGGCTCTTTAGGTTTGTATCAGACTTATAATTAGACTCCGATGGTGTTATTATCCTGGTTTTGACTGCTTTTGGTCTAATTTTTTCTGTTGGCGATTTATTTCTTGGCGTGGGGACTTTTGTACCATCGTTTGTATTAGTCTTTAACGTTCTCTTTCTACTACCTCTGTTTTTAATTTCATTTATATCAACAATGGTGATGGTTTCCACAGTTTTGGAGCCCTCACTCATTTTGGTTATGTTATCTGAATTTGCTAAGACTTCCTCATTTTGCGATCCAGCATTTAGAATATTGAAATACATTGTCTTTAAAGGTGTGTATTCTAATGGTAGTATTTTAAGTACGAGATCTTTATCAGGTTTGGGTTTTGTACTACATTTTGGTGGATCATCGTTCAATTCTACAAATCTTTTTGGAGGTCGTCTGCTCCTCTTTGTGGCGGACATTTTTTAAACGCGAACATTTATAACTGATTTAATTTGCACTGAGCATGTATAAAAATTTAGTTTTGCATCATATAACACTAAGAAATAACATTTGCACACACAAA